GCGTTTTATATGTTGTTAGCTTAAGCACAGAATGAATGCATTGTTTAATTCAGGAAACTATTGAATGACAGCGCTTATGATGTCGGTCTTCGTAATAATACTGCATACAAATGAAGATTTGGTAGAATTGATTTTCTGTCGTCCGTAAATTATGTTCACTTGTATATGCATCGTTGAATCATGCGGTTTTTTATGCTTCCGCTATTGACGTCACCAGTAATGTTGGTCTTATTGTATACTGCAGTATGAATATTCAATTATTTCTATGGAAACCATTTAGATGAATTATTGTTAGAAAGTAAAAGAAAATATTGACTTCTCAGTTAGATCCTCATTACCTGGCTCTATTCTAACATATATAGCATTTTTACTACAGTGAACAACAATTTACCATTCAAGTGGCGATATGTTTGTTAACAATACATATGGAGTATCAACATGTCAATGGGGTTCATAGACCTAGAATAATCTGTTCAAACGACTCCTTAAGATTATTAGAGATTTACTAAGTAAAAATGGTTACCGAGATAAGTTCATTGAGAAAAATATCAATTTAGCACCAAGGAGATTGAGTATGCCAACAGGTTCAAAAAAATTCATTGTTCTTAAAACTGCAGTTCCTCGGTGATAACATCAGAGAAATAGTAATGCAGCGACTGAAAAATGCAGTTAAAAGAGCTTTCAAGGCAGCAGAGTTGCGTTGTCTCTTCCCTACCACCCCTATTTTACATTCGACAAATAAGGACACACTACGCAATTTCGCGTCCTCGATATGACTGCAGCTGCAGAACCAGCTAAATTAGTTGTGCAGCTAGACAGGTTCATCATCATATTTCCGAACATTATCCTGCATGGTTAAGTAAAGGACACACAGGATCTATTCGTAGCTCTGTTTTAGCACACCTTGTAGATAGTGAGCATATAGTTGGTGTTGGTACAGCACCTAAAGTTATTTATCGCATTCCTACTAACCTTAATTTTGCTTTACGAGTCTGTCTTCTACATACAACTGAAGCATCAGGGATCCACCTGAAGGAGCCGAACCTGTGTGTTCAGAAGAAATTTGTACAGCCACTTTCCTTACCTTGGCCATCGTTACATGAATGTATAAACCGGAATACTTTGCCTTCCTCCTATACCTTTTAAAATTTATGATTGTCCAAATTATTATATTGTTTTTTCTGACTACTTCATCGTGAGTTACAAGTTACCATTGTCCATATAGTTTTATTCTGCTTTAATTTTCTCTTACGCAACCAACTTGAACACTCACTTATTCCTTAATTACTCTTCATTTTTCCAGAATTATGCATTATGCAATCCATTTGTTGTAGCTATTTCTACCTTTTAATTTTGTGTATTAATTTTCTTCGTTAATTATCACCCCCTTGACATGCTGATATGTTAACAAACACGTCGCCACTTTATTGGTAAATTGTTCTGTATTGTAATAAAACTTATATATATATATATATTAGAGTAGAGCCAGAGGTGGGGATCTAAATGAAAAGCAAATGTTTCTTCGCTCAAACCTTTTGCTTTTTATAGTGAATTATTACTGTACTATTTTACCTTCTAACTTTTAATATACACTGAATGTATAGAAAAGTACAATTCTGGCTTAGGAACCTGTGGTATTTTGAGGTCATATTCTGACAGATGATTTCTAGCTGCCATCAGATTTTAGCCATTGAATATTTGACATCCCTATTGTTTTTCTGTAGACTGCTCTCCAGTAAATTTTTCCGGTAATTAACTTAGAAATTGAAAGAGAGTGTAAAACATGGAGATTGTGCTGCAGAACAGTTGCATGTTGGCTTATTGTTTTCCTTAAGTACAGAATGAGACGATATTATTTAATGCATAACGTTCCGAATATAGATGACTACTCATTAGCACTATTAGTGTAGTGCTTTCTTCTCTCATAATTGATTGTCAGCAGAAATTCTCAGTTAAGTGTTGAATCATTCCCCTTGCATATATAGCTGATAATGATACCATGAACAAGAATTGAGTTGTCAGTCTTTCTCTCCACCTAACTATGTTAGCGTTCAGAACTGATGACACACTGACTTAAGAAAAGTATCCTTCAGACAGTACAGCAGTTATCAACGGTAACACATCTCAAATCAGTATAACGAAGTGAAGGGATCAGTTTAACATAACAAGTCTATAAATCAGTTTATCAAATAGTATAGCACTTGAAGCGTTAAAAAATGAGCTTGACCTTGGTCATGAACATAATCCAGACAGAAATGAATAAAAGTATTTTAGGAGTACGGTCAAGTCTGAGATCTACTGTTTTTAAATTTCAAGATAGCGTGTATATCGACACAGTTGAAGTAGCAATATGATCCCAGATAAACTGTGGAAACAGGCATATTCACAAATATTTTGGAAAGCTTTACATACGTTTTAATCTGCTCCAAAAGTATGGCGGACATATATATACATAAATATGTATATTGAAATTGGACTAAAAAGAAATGGTAACTGATCCTATTGCACAAGAGGTAGTTATCGTAGGGCAAGTTGTCTAGTGGATAGCTCTCTGCCATTTGAAACGATGTGTACTGGGTTCGAGTCTCAGAGAGAATATCATCGACCAGCCGACGAGTTTCAGTTAGGACGAAATGCACATCCTGGATTTCACTGATAGTCACGACTAACCAGATAACATGGCCTTCAATAATTAAATCATACTTGATGGAGACATTTAAAGCAGCCACTCACTGAAAATTACAATTTTTTTAGTTTTGTACTTTTTAATTTGCCAGGCGTTAATTGAGTCTCTGACTGTTCTCATATCTTCTAAAACTAAATATTCAGATTGCTAAACAAGCTGATCACACTCCTCACTTGGCTGTACATAATAAATGCACTAATAAATGAACTCATAGTACGTGATGAATCAGTATCACTTTTCGGTGGTTATGGCTTATATAAACAGTAGTCTGTATATCACCATCATACTTGTTAAAAAATAGCTGACCTGTCACTGGTTTGAACACCACCGATATTTGGTAAAGATTGCTATACTAAAATGTACTGTATGTGATCCCCGTCTCATTGTTTTGTGAGAAAATCTCAAACTAATATTTTACCAATAACACTGCCCAGTAGTCAATCAGACAGTTATAAAGCGTAATGGCTAAAGTTTTTTCATAGGAATTTAATGGGAAGTGTATTGAAGTTTCAAAAGAACTTGTCTTTTAGTTATTCTCTACTTATCATATATGCTTTATTTTTTTTAATTTGATGTTAAAAAATAACAATTATTTGGCTACTTACTTATTTATGATTGACACTGAAAACATATTGTATTTATCCGCAAACAAATTCCCCTTATATCTGACTGACTGAATCCGTTTAGAATGTATTTGTTTAATTGGATTTCGTGCTTGATTGGGATTTTAATGAGCAAGCAAATAATTAAAAATACTGAATCACATGTGAGACTCAGCTCATCTTGCTTAGATTAGTTCTCATTATTACTGTTGCAGTTATTAAGCTGTAACAGAGAAAATCTGAAAAAAGTACATCATATCTTACTGTGACAGATAACAGTTATAAAATGCTTCAAAAATTGTGATAACGACTTCTAATAACGGTACATTTCATCTCCACAACTTATTTTAGAAGGTCTGAAGAAAGCGACATCAGTTTGGAATACGTCTTGTAGGTATGCCTAAAAGAATTCAGCAGTTTTTAAAATTTGTATGAGAAACAAATGCACTAAGAGGAATTCGTTGATTCAGGTCTGATCACAGATTGATATCAATTAGAGAACCATTGAAAATCAGGGAGTACTGAACAGCTGTTTCGTCCTAGTTTTGGATTCACTGAAAGTACGCACATATCGGGGCTCGCATCCAGGACCTTCCGGTTAGAAAGTGGGCTCGTGAACTATTCAGTCATAAGGACTCGGAGAGTAGTGAGTTGAATCCCTATTATGTTTGTACTGTCGTAGAGTCCCAAACCAGGACAAAACAGTTGTCCAGTACTCCCTGGTTTTTGGTGGTTTTCTAACTGATCTCGATCCGTAACCGAACTTGAAACAAATCCAATCCCTACAAATTAAGTCTTGGAATTCATTGTATTAATTGGTTTAACAAATTAATTCCCTTAAGATTAGATCAATATCTCCATCATTCTTTCCGTTTCTGTTGGGATTAGATTCAAATACATATTGAAAGTACTCTGCGGAATTAATTTAAGTTCGAAAGTAAACAAGATATTAACAAAAATCGTATATAAGTTTAATCATGAATTGATATCAGGTAGAGAATTACTGAAAACCTTGGAGTTCATGATGTAACCTTAAGTCATATATATATATATATAGTGTTCGCACGACATTCGAAGCTAGAAAGGCTGTTCAGAATGCACGCGATATGAGAAGATATGGTACAGAAGTTCTAGGATATAGGTGGATTCTCCAGATTACCCTCTTCAGTACCATTAGTCTACTTCGGTCACTCACAAGAGAACCAGTAGTACACTGAGAGAGTGGCTACTACATTATCACCAACAGCGTCGTAGGCTTTTATGCAGTTGGAGCCAATCTCGCCCGGGATAATGGCAGCGAAATTCAATTCACATATAGAAAAGTTACAGTTATCCAATGCTACGCTCTTACGAACATCGCAGATCAATAGAAGAAGGAACACTTCTATGGACAACAGCAAATAGTAATGGACAAAGTCATAGGTTTGTTTTCTACTATACTTTGGTATTCCTACGTCTTTCTACTGTTTGTAGATCATCCATAAGTAATGGGCTTATACCTTATTTTAAAGTTTGTGTCATTTATTGAGATTCCGAGATAGAAACACAATAATATCCTAGATGGCTTAGTTATCGTAGATTGTTACCTCAGTGATTTGCAAGATTCAGTTGATTTCAGCGGAATATTAATATCCACTTATTACAGAAATAGTTTCTGTCTCTCCATTCAAATGATAACTTCTATTGACACATGTTTTCTTTTCCTTTTCTAGGTGAACATTACAAAATGAATAAGCGTTATGTCACGATGTGAAAAAGAAAATTTATTCATTACTACCTACTTTCCTGAACAGTTGGATAATCATATATTTTATACTTTGAATGGTCCATATACTGAGGCTATCGTGGAGTTTGCTGCACAACTTAATGGATTCAATAGTACACTGCAGGATTTCATGTTTTTGGGTAGTGATCGTTTCAATGAACAAACAGGAATAATTGCATCCAATTTATTGGAGAGGATATGCGGGCCATATCCTAGTTATTTATCACCATTTACCGATACATTTGAAGATATTGTACACAGTTATGTCTTACCTGTATTAATGGTTTTCGTGATAATTACAAATTTCTTTGTTTGTCTCGTGTTAAGCCGACCACAAATGAGATCACCTGTCTTTCTGCTATTGTTGATTATTGGTATTGTAGAGTTGACAAACAGTTTTCTGCCTTTACCAATGTATTCTGCTCAGAGCTTATATAGACGAACTGCATGGTGGACTGATTTACCAGTCAATAATTTCACTGTTGCTGAAAATGCATTGAAGGATACAAATTGGCAACTAGCTCCAAGTATGTATTATCAAACAAGCGATAGTATACTTGCAAGTGAAGCTTCAGCATGGTCAACTGTATTTCTTCCAACTATAACGCATACAATATCTGTATGGTTAACTGTTGCTTTGGCTTTACAGCGTGTAATTTATTTATTTATTCATGATTTAGCATTGAAACTGTGCACTTTGACTTCGACAGGAATGACGTTTTTAGTAATCTCCTGTATTGCATGTATTTTACATTGGCCTTTATTAAGTTCGAGATTTATCTTATTTCGACCACTCCAGCTGAGGTCATCATTTCACCTTCGTAACTCTAGTAGGATCATCAATTTGAATAATTACGTGACTGAAATGCAAAATCCTACACGTTGTCTACCTGATGTGGTACACTATATACCTGGTATTGTAATGAAATGCCATTTGACTCAACCAAATTACATGTTATTGTATTTTTACACAAGAATTGTACTGATCCATATATTACCATGTGGATTACTCATCATACTGACAATTATTCTTCTCATGAAAATGCGCAGTATAATGAAGTTGAGAACACGTCTTGGTTTAATCCACAAAAAACATCCTTCGAATACTGACCGTGCCAAGCATGTAACCTTTTGTTGTTTATCTGAACCACGTCGTCTATCGAATGATTTTACCAACCAATTGGGTAGTCTCACAGCTAAAAATGTTAACAACCATGAAAGCATACAGATATCTGGTCACAAAACATCATCTGTCAATCCGCAGGCTATATCTCGTATGCTTGTTGTCGTTTTAGTCAAATTCATAGCCATGCACTTGCCAAACGCTTTTCTTCTAACAATTTATGTCGTTAAAAGCATGTACAAAGTGGATCATGTGGTACAAAACAGCACAAATATAACAAGAACAGCAACAACAACAACAACAGCGGAAGTGACATCAACAGAACTGCTGACAGAAGTTGACAGTGGATTCTTCACTTCTTTGTTAGTTCATAATTACACAGTTAACGCTTCTAACTATGTCGAATATGGCTCGAATAGTCTGGAAAGTAGTAAGACATCGAATTCACTATCTGAGAATAATGATCTTTTTGATAATTATCTAGGCAAAGCAGTTATTTTGTGTAACCTTGTAATACTTGTATCATATCAATTAAATTTTTTCATTTACTACGCTATGTCAACTCAATTTAAAGAGACATTTCACAGTCTGTGCTTTAGCAAACTGTTTAAACTTTGTAAGATATGATGTGTTTTTCATACAGCTTTACGACATTCTATAAATACATATCAAAAATTACAACAGAATATCACTGCTGCTTTTATTGAGTGTATGACTGTATGAGTTGAGCATGAAAATTAAAGGTATTTAATGCTATGAGCTGTTTGTAATTATTATTACTACTATTCCACACGACATCTATTTTATTTTCTTCTTCGTCATCACATAGGAAGATAGAGATATCTCTTGAAAACTGAAGAAATGATTGTTTATTTATTTAATGAAAGGTGTCGGTATCACTTCAGTGACCAGTTTATCATATCAGGCTACTGAGACGTCCGAATAATACAATATGTTAGATATATAATAGTAATCGGAGTTAATTTCCAGACGTATATAGGTGAATGAAATGAATTGCATTAAATTAACAACTGTATATCAGCGTTGGTGGCATGGCGGTTAGGACGCTCGCCGACCATGCACATGGTCTGGGGTTCGATCCCCGGCCGACGCACTCCTTCACCTCGCTAAGCCATAAATAATGCTGATGAAGAGGAAAGGTTGGGCATGAGGCTAGCAACCCCATCCTGTAAAATAAACACAGCTACAGAAACTTGAAGCCACTAGCTTGAAGCCCTATGTTACAGGGTTTCATCATGAGCTGACATTGGTTGGTGAACCATTGGAAAACCTAGGAGTACTGCACAGCTGTTTCGTCCTAGTTTGGGAATCTTCAGCACTACGCACCCACCGGGGTTCGAACCTAGGACCTTCTGGTTACAAGGTGAGCTCGTACACCATTAAGCCACTGGGACCCGATTCAATGGCCCATGAATTCTAACTTCTGCCAACGTGAAGGGAAAAAAAACAAACAAAAAGACAACTGTATATCTGTTTTTTTTAAATGTATACATGGACAATGTTCCTGTCAGAGAAATCAAGTTTCTTATGATGTTGACAGTAATAACTGCTGAGTGAATAGACAAACAGAAGCATACTCGTGAAAAGTACTTTTGTATATTTACAAGAGGATACAGAGCAGAAGATTGTTATCGGTATCATAGAAGACTGTTCATATTGAAAGTGTTTTGGATCTGTAAAATATTTATGCACTTGTATCTGCAACAAAATATATTACCAGTATTTCATAAAATGTAGACACCTTTTAAAGTCGAATGAATTGAGTACAGTTACTAAAGTTATTCCTTTTCAATGTGTTAGTGCAATCTTGTTGACCCAAAGTAGAAATATCCTCCTTAAAATCTGCCCGACATTACTGTATTTAACTAGGATATCCTCTGAATTCTTACGTGTGACTTAATCGCCAAGATAGCTTCCACTTTTGAGCCGAATTTTTTGAATACGGATGCTCGGGAAAGCTTTTCGAAATTGGCTGTAATTAAATAGATTTTAATTCTCGTTATCGATGGTGACGTGCTTAAAACTTAAGCTACCGCAAATCTCCATTATTCTGTTGTGCATGATTTATCTTGCCCACTTTGTTTTAAACTATTAAAATACGATTTCTAATGGTATTATCTAATTAATTGGTGGATGGTGACTAGCGGTGGAATCCAGGATGCGCATTTCGTCCTGTTTGGGACTCGTCATCTGGATGTACCTGCATTTCTCAGTGAGTGATGATGTTCCCACCGAGGCTCGAACCCAGTGACCATGGTTTCAAACGCCAAAGCGTTATCCACTAGACCACTTGGGCCACGAGAGCCACCTCTTGTGCAACGGGTCATATTGATTTAATTGAATTTTGGATTTTCCCGTCGATTGATTGGACCGAAGTATTATCTACTCTTGCGAGTATTTAAAATATTTACAACCTAATGGTTCGCTAGTTTCTAGTAAACTTGAGAAAAAGCATAGTGGTGGGTGGCAACTTATCGCAACACATATGATATCTGTTTGTGAGGAATGTCTTCGGGTCTCGAAATGTACTCCTGAAGCTTTTATAATTGGCTATCAACAAAATCTGATGCATTTGTTGAAGGATATAGAGAAGAGATGTCATTATGGATTGGTTTGCACCTCAGATCAGAGAGCATTGTTTCACGTGATGTGTTGTCAATTAACACTTTATTTGGATATCCTGAAGGAAGAGTAAATATCATGGAATAAACTTCACTGAAAATCCTATACATTATATAAGGACTGTCCAGAATAAAGGTATTATTAGTATTATAAAACGGTTATTTCTGATCATTCTTCAATGAAATTTACTTTTCAAAGCAGTAAACCCTTTACTGGATAAAAAAATTTGACAGTATAGAAACACTTTGTGCAATATCCGATAAGAACCTTTCTAACAGCAACACTTACGAAGCTTATAAAAAAAGCTAACCAGAATTGTAGTGACATGAACGTATCCTACTTTTTTTTATCATCCTTGTATTACCAGAAAATATGATTGAAAGACAGCTACCTTTGATCATATAACTTTCAAACATCACTTGTTGTCATTCAAGTAGCAAGCATTTAATTAATAAGTTAAGTCGGCTTATTGAGGAAAAGAAAACTGTAAAAGTCTTTTCAATATCAGCAGGACAGTTATTCTACTTTCATAGAACAAACTAACTGTTTAACGTCATAAATAATAAGTTGTGTCGTTTATTAGGTTGACCTTCGGTTCCTTTGGTGTTATGTACAATAAGTTTATCAATTACAGGATGTAGTATAATAATGTATAATGAGGCATTTCCATAACAATTTCAGTAACAACTTCCCTAAAATGATTTGTTGATATTTTTTAATTTTCAGCCTTTCAGTTCAGGCCATAAACTAATTTTAGAAAATTTCAATAAGCTAAAAAGTTGTATATTTTAACATCAGTGTACATTCATATAATGAGCATGTCAAAATCATCCACAAATTAGAATCATTTCAAGTTTGACCGCGGGTTGATGTCAGTTAGGGGACCGTTGAAAATCAGGGAATGGTGGACAGATGTTTCGTCCTGGCTTGAGACTCTTCATCTATACACACCTATGTTCCCACCAGGGGTTGAATCTTGGAGTTTCCAGTAACAAGGTGAGATCGTAGACCATTCAGCCATTAGGACCCACTTAATAACCCATGAATTCCTATTTTTATCAATTTATGATTTTATTGCGACGATCAGCTAATGTTATCGGGGAGTATTTGTCCTCACTCCCAAATGGACGGACCCCACTGTTCACGACGTCTCACCAGAATTCCAGGAAAGTTCCTCCTGCAACCAGTCACTAACGAGCATTAGATTAATTTTGAAGAGTTAGCTTGTGGGGATTTGGTTCGTTTCAAGCCTGGTCACGGATTGAAGCCATCTCGGAAAGCACTGGAAAACAAAGAGTACTGGACAGTTGCTTCATTGTAGTTAGGGACTCATTCGGACTCCAGTGGATGCATGCTGTCACTGGGTCCTAAACTAGGCCAAAGCAACTGTCCAGTACCACCTGGTTTTCAGTATTTCTCTAACTGATATCAGTCTACGGTTAAACTTGAAACAAATCAATTCCTTACGAACTAACTCTTGAAAACTTAGATTCGCTCAGTAGTACCCACCTGTACCTCCAGCATGTAGGCACAGCTTGTTATTGTCTTGTTAACTAGACAAAGGTAGTGGCAAGATAATAGGAAAGATCATTTTGATTAAAAGCCAAAAGTAGTTCGTGTCCTACTGTTGTGCTAATTCAGCTTCCGATTGCATGGAAGTTGTGTAAATCTATTCTTCCGTATTATTTAATATGGTTAAGTAGCAATGCGTTAAGATTAGACCTGTGAGGTTACTGTTAATCATATCTACATGAACACACAACTTCACACATATGTCTCAATAAACTTATCTCATTTTTCTTTTTCTGTTTCAACTATGATCTGACGAAACAGCTGTCCAGTACTCCCAGGTTTTCCGAAGTTTCTCTAACCCATGTAAGCTCATGATGAAATCCTGTAGCCAATCACTCAAATTCCTACAAACCAATACTTGAATAACAGCTTTATTGAAAAAAGTGCATTTATACACAAACAGAATTTCTAGCAAGTTTCATTGCAAGGTATTTACTCCTTGTGCAGAATTTTCAAATAATACAACAGCTGATAATATATCATCTGAAGCAGTATCCAGCCAAGGCATATTCTTTTAGTCCCTCACAATGTTCTTCCTTTTTTTCAGGAAATTCCTAGCAATCGGTAGAAACTTATTTAAATTTGTATGCGAGTAAAGATTGTGAATCGTTGTGGCAATCCGATGATGGGAACGGAGTAGATACAATGCATTTTGATGGATAACAAATTTAGGCAGTCCAGTGATTTAAGCAGGCCACCATAAATCTTACGATCTTTCATTACTTCACAATGTAAAACAGTTATCTGAAAGCATTTTCAACGGTCCTGTAAATCTATCAGTTCATGGTTAAGGCGAAGAATTTCATTTTATATGTGAATTAAGTTTTTCAGCTGATACATTTCGATGGATTTCTTGAAGCTGCAGTGAGAAGTCATGACCAGTCGGGTCCACCAAGTCAAGGTGAAGTGGATGTTCATCGAAGGCATTGGTATGGGCAGCACTGTATAACGAGTTGACAAAGTTAAAATTCACGGGTCACTGAATTCCAGCCTAAGTGGCCGAAGTGTCAGAAAGCTTGGTCTTGTAACCCGAATGGCTTCAGGTTCGATCCTTGGTGGGGTCATGGGTGCGCACTGATGAGGAGTTGCAAAAACGGTACGATTCTCGATGATCTGTCTAAATGATGTTGATTCATGACAAAAATCTAACAACTGGAATTAATTCAAAATCCCTGAAAATCGCATAATCTGAAAAACATTAATCAATGTACAATCATAAGCTATAAGAGGGATTATGATCTTGGCTATGCAATGTGTACGTAATGTATTCACGTTGAGGTTGATATTTGGTTACATTTAAGGAATATTTTTGATATTCAAGTGTTGGTTTGCAGGGATTTTATTGGTATCAGGACTACATGGACCACTGGATCGAGTCTCAGTGGCTTAGTGGTATACGAGCTTGCAGTGTAACCAGAAGGTCTTGGCTGTGAGTGCGTGCTGATGAAGAGTGCCAAACTAGGCTGACGAAATAACT